CCTTTTTCGGGACGAGAAAATAGCGGCTGTAAAAACCTGCCTCGCTCATAGAGGGGGGCACTGTTTCTATAGCACCTTTCTCTATCAGTTTGAGCATCTCGGTGCGTAGAACATGTGAAACATCTTTTCTCACTTTCGTCTCTACCACTGCTGTGAAGCGGGGCGGTCTGCGAGCGAATTGGAGCGAGTAACCGTGTTTTATTATGTTCAAAACCCATTTCGGCATGTCGGGGATATTTTCCCAAGCTTTCGCTCGCACAGATATGGGCTGAATGCTGGCCGGGGGCGTGTCGCAGTGACGTATGGCTCCCGCCAGCGAATCGTTCTGTGTAAATACCGAGCTCACAGCTGTCAGCGGCGCGGGCGCGCGCTGAGCAGCTTTGTTGAATGCCGAGTGCAGGGGTGCGTGTGAGATTACAGGCACGCTCGCTGTAACGCTCACAGAGTGAGATGGGGAAATGTTTAACACTGTGTGTATAGTGCTTATGGGTGGGGGTGCATAGACTGTGGTAGGCACGCGCGCCACTTTCATAAAACTTCCCGCTCGTGGCGGGAGGTTTTTGGCCATATAAACAGTGTTTGTGAGATGGGGTGCGTGCATAACAGCGGGCACACGCGCTACTCTTATACAACTTCCCGCTTTTACTGGGGAAGTGTTTATAACTGTGGGAACAGTGCTTGTGTGTAGTGGTGCATACGTAACAGTTGGCACACAATCTACATTTATGGGGCGTCCAGCCTGAGCTGGGAAAACATTTGGCACTGAGTTTACAGTTTTGATATGTGGGAATGCGCACTTTGGTGTGGACACGTGACCCTTTAATGACACAGGCAGAAAATAGCTCTTTATGTGATTTCTGTGTGTCGCCGTAAAAACGGCGTTTGTTTGCAGGTGGGCGAGCTGTGTGGCTGGCACATTGGCTGCTGTATAGACATTTCCAACCGCCTGTAAGGGGACTGGGTAATGCTTTAAACGTTTTGGAGAGAACGGTCCGGCTCTTGCGAGACACGCGCTCTCCCTTTTCCTCCCTGTAGCTAGGAGGACTTACGAGGCTCTGGGTTCAGCACAATCCTGGGCCGAGGTCCCCGTCGCTCGGGCGGCTGTTTCCTGTTGGCGGAGCGCGAGCGGCGTCGAAAATCCGTTTCAGGTTTGGGCTGAGAGACGGGGGGCACCGTCTTAGCTCGCTGCTGCTGAGGCGGCCGTTGGCGGCTCTGCGATGAGCTAGATCGCTTGGGCAGGAAGTGACGCATAGCCTGTGAGTCCTTACGGGCTTCGGTGAAGCGCTCGGCGAACTCCTTCACCGCTGGTCCAAACAGGCCGCTTTGGGAGATAGGCGCGTCGAGAAATGACGCCTTATCTGCATCCTTCATTTCTGTTAGCGTCAGCCACAGATGGCGCTCAAGGACAGTCAGGTTAGCCATAGCACGGCCGATGGATTGGGCGGTGGCTTTTGTAGCTCGCAGCGCTATGTCAGTGGCGCTGCGTAGGTCCTTAAATGCCTCAGGATCGGGTCCAGACTCGTCCATACTGCGGAGAAGTTTGGCTTGAAAAACCTGGAGGACAGCCATAGAGTGAAGCGCTGATGCAGCTTGGCCGGCGGCGGCGTATGCGCGACCGGCGAGAGCTGAAGTAGATCGGCAAGGCTTCGAGGGATGAGAAGCTTTAGCTTTCCATCCAGCGTTGGAGGGTGGACACAGATGATTGGCCACAGCTTCCTCGAGGGGCGGAGTCCCCTCATAGCCTCTTTCTTTTGCGCCGTCCACAGAGGAGAGCGACAAAGAAAAAGAAGGCTTCAGGCGAGCGGAGTGCGGGGCTTTCCACGACTTCGTGAGTTCGTCGTGAACTTCCGGGAAGAAGGGGGAGGGTCTTTGTCGAGGGGCCTGTCGGCGCCCCTGCAGGAACCACTCGTCCAGTCGGCTGCGGGCGGGTTCTTCCGGGGAAGACCAATCGAGGCCGAGGTCTTCCACGGCCTTAGAGAGAATGCGGACGATCTCAGAGTCCATGCTGGAGCCCGCGCTCGTGCCCGCTAATGTCGATGGCGCGGGGTCGAAGGACGAGCCCGGCCAATCGTCGGATGCAGCATCACAGGAAAAACTGTCATCCTTATCATCGTCATCCCCTGACGCGCCAAACGAGACGAGCCCCATCGCTCCGCTGGAGGGGTGCTGGTCCGCCTGTGTGAACTGGACTGGCGGCGGGGAGTCTTCGGGTGGTGGTGAAGCACGCGGGGATTGGCCCGGCGTGACATCACTGCAAACCGCGTGCTCCGGCGGCCTCTGTGAGCGGCGTTTTTTCTTTCGCGGCTCGACTAGAGGAGATGGCAGCACGGAAGAGGTGGGCTCTTTCGCGGTGAAAACGGCGAAGCGAGCGCGCAGCTCGGTGAGGCCCAGGGCGTCACACTCGGGACATCCGCCTCGAGTAAGGGCAGCCTCTGCGTGGTCCGGTCCCAAGCAGCGGGCGCAGATGATGTGACGATCCCCGTCCTGAAGAGGGCCTCGACACGAGGCGCAGGAAGGCATTTGAAACAACGCCTTGAGAAATTTGACTCTTTTAGAAAAAGTGTCGCGGGGGCGAACACTGATAGCTTTTTGAAAAAGGATATAGGTGGTGCGCGCCGGATGGCTTAGCAGAAGGGCGATCGAAGGCGGCTGAAGGCGCCGGCGTCCTCGAAGCAGTCCTGCTGTAGGCTTGTCGACGGCGGCGGCGAAAAGACTCCAATAAATCCGGAGGATCCAGCGAAGAGAAGGTTCTTTGCTGAAGGAGATTAAATCTAAAGAACTCAGACGACGGGGCGCCCAATATATAGCCCTTGGCCATGCCCATCTCGGCGGGCTCTGACGCGCGTGGGCGCGAAGCACGCTCATTGGAAGCGGGTTCAGAGTCGCCCCGTCATTGGTTCGTGCAAGTTGCCGCAGCACAGCCAATGACCGAGCTGCCTCGCTCATTGCTGTATGCTGTGCAGCTGCAATGCGTTTTACATAAAGACTTCAATATTTCTCGAGAAAAGGAGTTTTCCCATAGCGTAAGCTTACGCAATAGGAGGAACCTCTCGAAAGGGAACTTTAGATGCCTATAACTATGTGCTGAATGGTGATGTGCAAGACGTGTGTGTACGATCCGCAGTTCTGCCTAGCCAGCGCCATGAAGACGACAATGTAAAGAGTGACATTACGGTGCAATTTTAATGAGGTAAATATTTTCTAGAAATAAAAAATTGCAGATAAAGCATATTAATGTTTCATTGATTCTTGCACCCAACAACACAACAAGATGACATTTAATAATAAGAAGAATAATTTAAGATCCTTATTTTGTAGCCGAATCTGTGCTGGTTTGTATTCACCGCCTCCAGTTTTCCCTTTGTTCTGCCACCAGCTAGCGCTGTGACGTAACTGTGACGTCGGCTGGAAATTGGTATATAGAATGACCATACACGACTAAAGTAAAGCTTTGTGTGCAGAAAAGAATAATTTTAGTTATTCATTAGGAATTTTCTTTTCCAGTGTAGCTCTTAAACCTCAATCACGTTCAACTAATAATTTAAATAACCACACATTAAAATTTGACTGCTATGGATGAAGTGAAAGAATCGTATGATTTCAAAAGACTGTGAAATCTGTCAAGACTTGTTTTTTGTTATATTTTTCAAAGCTTGATCACCATATTAACATTCACTTAATTAAAAAAACAAAAACCTTTTATCTGTCTTTTTGTTGTCTACCGAAGAAAGTACAGGTTTGGAAATGTCAGAAAGTTCGTGACGGTAGCGGTGAGAGCTGACTTAAGCAGGTTTCAGCTTACCACGCCCTTGGTACGAGCTTACGTTACCACGTCCATGGGAGTATAAAAACCATCTTGTTTCGTCAAAACCACTGTAACGAGTCAGGAGTTGGAATTGCGAGATCGGGATAGAGTATCCGTTCATCCCCTCTATCTCCGCTGGGCTCCGCCCACTTTTCCAGCATTTTTCAAATATTGCCAGTGGGTGGAGTCAGGCTCTGACCAGGGGTTTAGTTACCCTTTAAAATATTCTTACTGATCCCCCAGCGTGAGTTTTTTCAAGGCGACCGTTATTTAGAACCTGTCACTTTAATGTTTCCATGGTGACGCGTCATTACTTGTCACGTGACACAGCGCAACCACAACACACAGCGCTAAATGAATGATGATCTGCTTTTATGTCATTTTTCCTTTTTTATTCAAAATATTAACAAATGTATTAGCTATAACATGACACACTGATATTCCGATTGTCAAATATGTGCAAGTGGATGTGTTTTGTTGTTTAAACACCTTTATAACGATCGCGTTAGTTGAGCTGTATGTGCGATGGGCGGCGCCATTTTATTTTACAACATGTCAATTCCTCAACTTCTCACGAAATACATAAGTGGCCGGTGAACTGGGAGAAGAATAGGGTCAAATGTAAAGCTACTTACACATTGTGTATCTGATATGAATAAAACGTGTCGTCTTATTATAATGGAAAGGGTTATTATTGCCGCTTCCATAGACATCATTGTGTATTTTACAAACTAAAAAATTTTTTTTTTGCTAGTACTTATGTGTATTTAAATGTCTGAAACCTAAAATAAACATTAGTGGTTGAAAACACTGAATAGTTGTGATATATGACAGCACTGAGGGCGTCTGTCTCTGTCTCAGCGCAAGCCAACGCGCGAAAGCACGTTTGAATGTGGCAGTTGATCACGTGATGCACTGACCGTTATAATCACACTGGTGTGATCGTACGCTCCAGGGACCAGCCAAGACTGATCACACCGGTTTGATCGTACGTGAGAGAGGTGTGGTACATATTTATTGTGGCCACCATTTTGAGATCACATGACCAGCTGAACTCAGCTTACTTGGTAACATCATCTTCAAACAGACTTATGAGGTCTTAAGCAATGCATGTGTAGCAGAAAATGAGTGTAAGAAGTAACACCATTTTTTCTCTCTTTTCTGTCTCCCTCCCTCTTCTTGCTTCACTCCTCAGTAAATGGAGTACCTAACAGCCAAATCACTACCCCCAAATCCGCCAAATCCTCCAGCTCCTCCCCGACCAGCCCCCGCAGCATGCGCAACTTCAAGGTAAACCCGTTGGCATGGCAACTCTGTGCTGCTAATCAGTTTACAGGCAAACATTGCTAGTTTTAGAATAGATTATTTCTTCAAGTCAAAAATAAGATCAGGCTTCTGGATGCTGACGCATAGATGATAGCATAACATCATAACACTCTCATTCGTGATTAAGAGTTTAGTGATGCTGCCTAAATTACTGACTCTCAACAAATTGAAGCAGTAAATTTCAAGGTCAAGTGATGACACTTTATCAGAATATGCTAACTTCTCTTTTTTTATACTGCAATTCAGGGGGGGGGGGGGGAATTATTTTGAGTTAGAAAGTCATGTATTTTTTCTGCTGTCTAAGGTTTTTATACTCTTAATGATAAATGCAAGCTTTATTTTATTTCTATGTTGTATTTTTGTTTCAATTCTGTTCAGTTGTTTTATTTCTATCTGACATGTCAGTGATGTCTCTATACACAATTTTATCTAGACTATAAGGTCGACAAATTATTAAATAAAAATTGAAAGAGTAAATATTTTTTAAAAAAATGAAATGAACATTGTAACATTGTCATTAAAGTATTTAGCTGAAATATGTTCTTTGACTTATCAGCTTATCAATATACATTAATAAATTGTTATCAGTTTAGGATGCTATTTCATTATGTTGTATAAGAATGTAGGTCCACTATTAATACACTATAAACTTCTACAGTGAAATTATTTCATACTACAGCGATGATATTATTTCTCTTAGGTACTTTCTTATAGTTCAAGATAGCGGGTAGATTTGGAAAACCCATATGGGAGTTCCCTGTTACCTCACAACTCACATGTGAAAGGTGCCTAAAACACTTGAGTTTTCAGTAGTTGTCTCTATAGAGGTCATTTAGTATCAGTGGAGTCGTTTCTACATGATCTGGTATAAGGACATATAAATCCGCTCTGAAAGACCTAATCAATTCTATTCTTGGAGGCATTGTGAGTTGATGCATTGAGATCTTGCTGAGATCTGACTACGGCAAACTGTAATTTAACCAAAGGTCAAAGTCAAGTACAATCATAGCCTCGAGAACTCCTGGTGTTAATCTGCTTAACTGACCTGTCTATCAGACAGTAAGCTTCTTGGTGTACGGGTGCTATCCTTAAAGCTTTTTGAAGAAACGCACATGGAGAAATTTCATGACAAGGAGAAACTTTCCTTCATTTTTTGAGAGGATCTAGTGCTATATTTAGTAGTGAATAGTGAGTTATTTTTCACACACTAAGTGAACACCAAATGAGATCTCAATTGTTTTTGTTTTTTTCTGAGAGAGCAATGAAATTAAACAGAGAATTTTTCATTTTTCTCCTGAGAAAAACACCTTAGTGATCTCTCATCTCTTTGTAGTATTGTACGCCATAAATTGCCATTTTTTACATTTATTTTTCCTAATATGAACTCTGAGATGCACATCTAAAACAAAGTTAAATGTTAGTTAAATAAAATATAACCTATACTTCATAAAAGTCTAACAAGCTATATAAGAACAATGCACAAATTGAGAAATACGCTATTTTCAGAAGCCTGTGAATGTCTATCATGAAACAGCCTTTAACAAATTATTCATAGTATTCCACCATTATTGTGCACTTTTCTGAAGATATGACTGAATAAGTGGTTTGATGGAAAGTTGCTGGTTCTTTGCACATTGTTCCTGCTTCAATTTTAGTCCAAACGCGCCAACGTTATATGGTTACATAAATATCTTCCCACTTGCCTTTAGTTTAGTTGCAACAAGCGGATAGGAGTCCCCCTCCGTCTCTCTGTACAGGTATTATGAAACTCTGCCTTCTGTAGCAGCATTCATATTAGCTGCAGTTCCTTCTGGATATTCAAGTCTTCAGTTGGGTATGATTGTGTGAGTCACTTTAATAGCGCAGAAGTTGGCTTTGTATATCATTCTGCTATACATTGGGGTATTTGATTCCTTCAGGGCGGCTCATAATACCCAACTGTTACTTGTGTACCTAGAGGAACCCTGTAGCCTTTATTAAACCAGCTTTAACCAGGATGCTGCCAGTATTTGTCTCCATTGGCTTACTTAGTCTTTTCTCACGTCACTGTCACGTCAGTTTAATTCTTTTTTGGCTGCTGAATCAAGATAACATACAGGCTTTTTAACCATACTGATTGCCAGCCCATTTAAAATCTTTTAAGACTAGGTCCATTATTTTTTACGTGAGTCGCACACAGTTTGTCTTTTAGATAATTATTTTTGTGTCAACCATTCATTTCACTAAAGATGATGTTTAATGTCGGATGGCAGTATGTTGTTTGAGAAACTGATTGTTTTATTGTGAAGGTTTTGTATAATCGCATAGCTTCTATAACCATCTATGCTTTTCTTTTTAGTAGGGCTGGGCAATATAATAATGAACAATCATGTTTTATAAAGATATGGCGATAAATATCACAATGATTTTAATTCACTTTTATTTGGACATTGGCTTGCTTTGCAATCCTTCCTTGTCTAGCGACTTATGAATATGAGAGTGTTAAGACATGTTTTAGTATCTGTGATACTGTTAAACTTCAGTATCAAAAATATTAAGGCAATGATGTATACTTTTCCAAAATTTGCACAAGCATTAATTTACTTGCCAGGAATACGGATTTGTGAATTAGAAAGGTGGTAAATATGATCCTGGATCACAAAACCAGTCACATGTCGCACGGGTATATTTGTGGCAATAGCCAACAATACATTGCATGGATCAAAAAAATTATCGATTTTTTTCTTTTATGCCAAAAACCATTAGGATATTAAGTAAAGATCATGTTCCATGAAGATATTTTGTAAATTTCCTACTGTAAATATATAAAACATTTATTTTTGTGAGTGAATGCAGCACAATCGCGAACATAAATGGACAACTTTAAAGGCGATTTTCTCAATGTTTCGATTTTTTGCAACCTCAGATTCCAGATTTTCAAATAGTTGTATCTCGGCCAAATATTGTCCTATCCTAACAAACCATACATCAATGGAACGCTTATTATTCACCTTTCAGATAATGTATAAATCTCAATTTTAGAAAAATGACCCTGGTTTTGTGGTCCAGGGTCACAAATGTGTATTTTTACCAATAATGACTATTTGTAGTAAATGCACATTCAATAAACATGCAACTTCAGAGTTTTCAGGTAAAGCTTGTTTTATGATTATTTTCACAAACACATTTGCACAAATAGTGCAGGTGTTCTGTGAGTCAGATACGAATCTGAATGAATTCAAAATTCTGATTCAACTTTTCAAAATATAAAAAGTAATTTGTTTCTTTAATGGCAAAGCTGAATTTTCAGAAGCCATTGCTATATTGGTGCATACAAACTGAAATTATTGTTGTTTTTCCTTGTGTTCATTCTTCCCCGTTTTTCATTGTAAGAAATTTGTGTGGAAAACATGCCTTGATTTAAGGATACAACCAATTTTTCTAGATTGGCTGGTAACAAATGTTTATTTTTAAAAAATTTAACTTAAATTAAAAAACTTAAATTGATCCACCATTAAGCTAAATAAAGTCTTAAGTATACTCCTACCTTGTATACAATTATTTACTTCATATATTTTCAAATTTAGCCCGGCTAAATTTGATGTTGGTTTGCATTAATGATTTATCTTATATGGAAAAAAACACTCTTAATCCATTTTAGACTGCATTAAATATCATACGTTTTAGTTATATCGCCCAGCCTTACGTTTTAGTATTTAAATAAAATGTCTAAGGTGTTTTAATTGTTTAAGGTTTTTGAGACTTTTGTCTCTGTTGGCAGATTCCAGCACATCACTCCTCTGCAACCAATGTGAACGGCTCCTCTGAGACGCCCCAACAATATAACAACAGTGTGAGCCCTGAAGGTAAGATGTCCACCCTCTATTCATCACTGTCATGCACTCACTCACTCACTCACCTTGGATCTTAGTGTGTTTTAAGTCCAAAAGTCCCCAAAGGGCATTTCAGGGGCATGACAAGCTTTGGCGGTGAAAGTGCTGACACATGTCATTCTGTGCCACATTTGCTCAGGCACTCTCCCACTCGTTCACACACTGTGGTGGCAGTGTATGAGCAAACGTCCCTGCTCAGCAGTGCATGAGTCAGAATGACCTTCCGTTGTTTATCTGCATAGTGCGCTAACCAAATTTGAATTGTTGGATGAGGATGTTGGGGCTAATCTGTTATTTGGGGGGTTTTACAAAATGTCTGGTTTTCATCTGAAAATATTTTTTGATCATATGGTATGAAAATTGTTATTATGTGTTTCAATCTGATATGTTTAATGTGTTGGTTTATTCCCTTTAGTTAATGGAAACAGGAACCTAGCTGCTTCCACTATTTTGGACAAGTACAAAATTGGCAAAGTTATTGGTGATGGAAACTTTGCTGTGGTTAAGGAGTGTGTCGAACGGTAAGAAAATGACTAGTTATAAAAGACTTGCTTAAACAAAGATGTTCGTTCTGTTAAGATCTGTCAGAAAGAGATCAAATGGTCCTTGGGGGTCAATAAAATTGTTGCTTTCTGTTTTGTTCTCCCTTCTATGTTTGTTATTGTCATGTTCCCTGATTAAAATACAGAAAGAAACAGTACTATCTACATCTAGATTCAATACTCATGTTCATATTTTGAAGCTAAAAGGTTCAATAGAAGATCTCTCGTGCACTGAAAGAACATTAACCTTATAAATTGGTCCCTGAGGCTCTGAATGCACTCTAGACAAACCTTCATAAGCCTCCTTGGTAAAAGTCTATTGTTCTGTTTCTTTCCATAGACCCACTGGAAAGGAGTTTGCACTGAAGATCATCGATAAAAACAAATGCAGAGGCAAAGTGAGTTGGACTTTCTAGGAACTTTTTTGCCACAACAGCCAATGGAGAGGCAACTGAGAAAAGACCAGCCATTACTATTCCTTTACCAGCCATACAACTGCATTTTGCATAGTTTTTATTAATAATGCATATATTTTGTCCTTATGACAATGCAGTTATAGCTGTTTATTAGTTCTGGACCCTGGCTTTAGGTGGGTTATTGCAATGTGAATTATTTACGCCCCAGTGGTCTGTAGAATCTTTGGTCCGGTTAATATGGCTGATTAGATTTAGATTTTATTCATTGCCATTTATCCAGCCTGCTGCAGCTCTTGCAGGTTATGAGAGAAAAGCTAGCCAACACCTAACACAAATGGTCCAAATGCAATCAGTAGATCTTCTGAATGCTTCAGAATAGGTTTTTAGTTTTTTAATGATTTAACAATGAACCTCTGTGTTTTTACACTATATGATCAAAACTATGTGGACAATATCACATCCATATGTGTTTTTTTTATACTCTTCTGAGAAGTATTTTAACATATGTTGGAAATATGGATTTGCTCCTATTTGGACACAAGAGTATTAGTGAGGTCAGGCACTGCAGGTGTTTGGCAATGGCTTGTAGTCGCCATTCCAATTAATCCCGAATGCATTCAGTGGCATTAAGGTTTTTTTTTTTGTGGAGGTACAAATCATTTCTCAGTAAATCTTTTCTTTATAGATGGCACTGTCACCGCAATGTTGGAATGTCACAGAATGCTGTTAAATTATTATTTGTTTTCACTATAGAACCTGTTAATTAGAAGGGGTTATCCACATACTTTTGGCAATGTAAGAATGCTATGTAAACAGCAGTTATACTGGCGGCCAATGTCTCATAATCTAATTTCAGCCTGTGCTTTAACCAAGGAAGTTAGTTTCCTGTTTGCCTTGTTTCCTGCAAGAACGAGCCTCAGGAATTCATGTGGATTTATGCCTCGGCAGCTAAAGACAAAAGACTGCTGAGAAATGCTGTAGGGTTGGGAATTTGTAGTGACGCATGCTTTGAACACCCAGGAGCACCTGATCGAGAATGAAGTGGCGGTGTTGAGGCGTGTTAAGCATCCTAATATCATCATGCTGATTGAGGAGGTGGATACGCCCACTGAGCTCTATCTAGTCATGGAACTTGTGAAGGTACTGTTTGTTAGTCACCTCTTTAACTGTATCTCTCAACAACGCACACTTACACGTGTTCTTACCACACCATACACTATGTTGCATTTAAAGACAACATAAAAATATACTATTCTTTACTTGATAAATGTCCCTGGTCTTATTGTGGTGTACACTGACAAAAATTATTTTGTAAATATGTAAAACTTTTCTCTGCTTCTGAAACTTATCAACTTTATAATTAAATAATATATAATTCTTAGATTTGTTATATCATACACTAACAATCAAAAGCCAAAAGGGAATTTACTGTATTTGGTTAAAATGCAGTAAAAACAGTAATAATATATTGTGAAATACCGTTGCTGTTTAAAATAACTTTTATTTTATTTTAACATTTTAATATAATCATAATTTCTATGATGGCAAATCTGAATTTCCAGCAGCCATTTTTGTAGAAACCATGTTACATTTATTCAGGATACTGAAAGTCAGCATTAATTAGAGATGTAAATCTTTTGTAATATAATAAATGTTTAATGCACCCTTGCTGAATAAAAGTATTAATTTCTTTTATTAAAAATGTACTGACCCCAAACTTTTGAACAGTAGTGTTTGTATAAAATAAAACTAAACTAAACTATATAATATAATATAATATAATATAATATAATATAATATAATATAATATAATATAATATAATATAATATAATAGTCACAATCCTCAGTCACAAGACCAGTCACCTCAGCACACTGTTTCCCATCATCCCTTTCTGGCTGTGCATACTCAACAATCACCACATCTGTCTGCCATCAGCCTCATCAGTTCCTCCATAAAAGCCAGCACCAAACACACATGTTTGTCTGGTCTCGTCGTTCTAGACTGAACTTCCATCTGTGGATTTGCTACCAGTGCGATCCTATCTCAAACTCAAAATAATTCATTACATTTATATAGTGCTTTTCTCGCGCACCCAAAGCTCTTTACATAGAAGGCGGGGAATCTCCTCAACCACCACCAATGTGCAGCATCCACCTGGATGATGCTACGGCAGCCATATTGCGCCAGAACGCCCACCACACACCAGCTTATTGGTGGAGAAGAGACGTACGTGGAGTGATGAAGCCAATCAGTATATATATGGATGATTAGGAGGCCATGATGGACAGAGGCCAACAGGCAAATTTGGGATTTTTAATGACCACAGAGAGTCAGGACCTCGGTTTAATGTCTCATCCGAAGGACGGTGCTTTTTGACAGTATAGTGTCCCCGTCACTATACTGGGGCGTTAGGACCCACACAGACCACAGGGTGAGCGCCCCCTGCTGGCCTCACTAACCCTTTATTTACACTGCACACATCTGCGGCGCGTTATGGCTCCGAAAAGGTTTTGTTCCATCTTCCACGTGGTTCCAACTCACACCAGGAGCATTTCAAAAGCGAAAGCGACTGGATGCGAGAGACCACGTGAATTGCCTGTCCGATGTGTTTTTTCTTGATTTTTGGGTTTTTACCTTACAGTCTATGGTTTCTACCAAGGATATATTGGTGCGCAATACAATTGGGAGTCTGCACAGGGTGTTTATTTTGAAATTGACAGTGTTTTTTGACTTATTTTGTATTTACGGTGCGGCTTGGACGCTGCGTCCGTTGAAAATAGATTCGGCGCCTATTTTTAGCGAAGATCCGCGCGGCGCGGAGAGCCGCTTCTGAGCCGTGTGCAGTGTAAATAAGGGGTAACCCGCAGCAGACTAGTTTTCCCAGGAGGTCTCCCATCCAGGTACTAACTAGGCAACCAGTCTTGGGCTACAAGCGCAAGTGCTGGCCATTTCAAAATATCTCATCTTTTTTGTTTTTACCGAGAACTTCTGCCTCCTTGCCGTCACCAGCCCATTTGATGACAAGACCCTGAAGTCACTGTTCTGGATCAGGGCGAATTACCATCACCCCGTAGACCTCCCAGACACCTCTGGACTGAACTGGAGGGACGCTATCATCCAGTGTCTGGAGAGTTTCTGCCCCCCGTCCAGGACACCGCTGGACCCAGAGTCCATTCCACCACCATCGACCATGGAGGAAACGTGTGAGTCCCCCGCAGACGGAGAGCCACCACCCACCGCGACGCTTCAGCTAGTGCCCGAAGATAAGAGGTCAGCGCTAGGAAGAGGAGCTTCCCAGTGTGTCTGACCAGGCTTGTGAGCTCAAGACATCAGTGGCCGAGATAATTTTGGTGGATTTTGAGATTTAGGACTAGCTGATGGACTTAAAGTCCCTGTAAAGGCAATTTCAAAAAAAAATTCTAAACACATTATAAATGTTAGAAATGTATTGATTAAACATATTACAAAGACTGTGAACTGTGAAGTACTGAATTGTGGAGTTAGACCGTTAAACAGTTTTTCACCATTGCTATTTTCCGGATTTTCTGGGCGGGGCTAAAACGGGGCTCGATGACGCACTGGAGCCCTTGAGCTCCTGGACACGCCCCTACTTGATGACGCACTAAAGCCGCTGAGGCTGGCCGCTCCTAACAATATTATAGAGCACATTCACATCAGTTTGCCGCTCATTCGCGAGTTACTGTCAGTACTATTATTAGTAACGGCCTACAGATTGCTAGCTAGCTATGCCTTTGTCACGGAAATGCGTAACGTTACTACCTGGATGCGATCACCGGATCAGTACAAAACAGATCGGTGTCCTTATTTACATTTCCGAAAAACGATTACATCAAGAAGAAGTGGATTAATTTTGTGAAGAGCCACTTTGATGGAGAGCTGAGGATCACTGCCAAAACCACCTCTGTAAGTGATCATTTTACACGGGATAGTTTTATAAACTTTCATCAGAGACAACTGGGATTCACTGATAATCCGCTGTTACTGGTGAATGGGGCCGAACCGACTATCTCCCGCCTCGGCCTTCATCCTCCAGTCGCGCCGACAATGGTGCCATCATCGGCAGTGCGTGCCCACCGTGCGAGCATCTATTCCGGCTGTAGAGTTGAGTGTGGCGACGGCAGCTTTCCCGCGAGTGGGCGTGGCTTCAGCACAGCCAGCGGACACGCCCCCAGCGTTTGAGAGCAGAGAATACTGCTCATTTTTTCAAGATTTTGATAGCTTATTTTATGTACTTGCTGGCTTTTTTTATCATTCAAATTTGGCTGGGTGACTAATAACACATTTTTCTGTGGTGTGACAAACTCAGAACACATACTTAATTTTGACTTTACAGGGACTTTAAGTGCGGAGGTTTCGTCTCCCACTCTATTTCTATTTTTTCATTGCTGGTCCTAGACCGCACCATGGACTGTATGAACTTTCGTCCTGTTTCCTCTGAACCTTCATCGCTGTTTCTAGACAGCACAGACACCTGCATGGAAAATGTATTGTTACCTTCGACCCTGTCTTGCCTTAATTTGCCTCCATCACCGCCCTGCTCAGCCAGTCCTCCAGCCCTGCATCTGCTCTCCTGCAATGCCAAGCAGTCATGTCGAGCCTCAGGTCCTGCAACCACCATCAGCACCTGAGCGGATAGATCCAGTGGCGCTGCCTCCATCCTCAGATCGTCTCGCTCCGTCTCGGTCCATCGACCTGTTGACTCCACATTTGGCTCTACCGGGTTCCCTCGTCCCACTGGCTCCCCCTTGGTCAGTTGTCACACCACCTCCGCCACAGACTTGCTGATCTTTTGCAACACTCCGTTCCTCCAGCCCTATGGCTGCAGCGGGCTCCTCCTTCCCTTCGGGTACGCCTTGGTCCTCCATCACACCGGCATCGCCTCAGTCCTTGGGCAGCCTGGCTCCTCCTCAGACGATAGTCGCCGTGGCTTCTCCTAGGCCTCCTGTGCCAGCGATGTTTCTCTTCTCCATCGGCTACCTGACTACGTACCTGTGCGATCCTATCTCAAACTGTTTCATCTTCAGTCTTCTGTCTTCTGTGAATAACCGTCATCCAGTCACCTCTCATCTCAGCCTGCAACAGATAAGACCTGTCACTTTCATGCCAGTTTCAGCATAACTATCTGCAATCCAAAGACTCACCTGCTGACATCCTGTTTGTCATTCAATAAACTCTATTCAGATAATAATATCTGTGTCTGCATTCTTCTGTTCCATGACTATAATATATAATATTTTTCATGATGCAATAAAATCCCCATGTATAAAATCAGATCCAACATACATTATTAGGTAGGTCAAATGCATTGAGAAATCTTTGTATTATTGTCAGCAATATTGCACTAAATGGCCACTTTTATAGGCAGAAAAAATGTTTGTTGCCTCTAGTTGAACGTGTTTTATACAAAATAGTTTTTGCCATTTGTGTTTCAGGGTGGAGATCTGTTTGATGCAATCACCTCCTCAACAAAATACACTGAAAGAGATGCTTGTGTGATGGTATTCGACCTGGCAGCTGCTCTCAAATACCTGCACAGAATGTGTATCGTCCATCGAGACATCAAACCTGAGAATCTGCTGGTATGAACACATCTTGCACAGAGACTATGGATCTAAGAATACTTTAATTCACACATCTTTGACACACACAGCAATATAGAGACATGAAACCTGTGAAGAAAAAACTTTGCACTTTGTACCTGAAAAATTACTTAAGGCACAGTATGTAAAGAGGAAATAATGTAAATCCTGGTGGATAAAAATAACCCTTTTGCCTCTTTCACTATGTGTGTCGTAGGTGTGCGAGTACCCTAATGGTACAAAGTCTTTGAAGTTGGGTGATTTTGGCTTGGCCACAGTGGTTGAAGGCCCGCTGTACACTGTTTGCGGAACACCCACTTACGTTGCCCCAGAAATCATAGCAGAGTCAGGGTAAGAGTCATTGATTGTTTTGTTTTTATATCATCAAAAGTGATATTGCTATGGAAGCATGAATATCTGTGTTTAATAGCCTTTAAAATACTGGAGGATGAATGTTATTGACTGTCTTTATATCCGGGCATCGCTGCAGTTATGGGCTAAAGGTGGATATCTGGGCAGCTGGAGTGATTACCTATATCCTTCTATGTGGCTTCCCACCTTTCCGCAGGTAACACTAGATAAAACTGTCTCAGTCCTTCATGTTAAAGTCAGCATGAAACAGTAGTTGCGATAGTCTTTTCTTTCCAATAGTGACCTATATCCGAGTGAAATGGACAAGAAAAAATGTAGGGTGGGATTTTGTCCATCAAGAATTGATTGGATGGTTGAATCATTTTGGTTTGCTATTGGTCGATCTCATGTGAGTGACAGGTTGTCCTGCCCTCGCGCCAATAAACACGTCATCAGAGTACAGAAGAGATGTCATTGCAAGTGGGAGGGGAAGTTATTTTGGTTAAAGATTACCAGGACACATGAAATTAAAATTAAATTAAAACATTTAAATAATAATGTGCACAGATAAATCATTTATAATAAATACTGCAATATTCCATAAAAAAACAAACAAGAATTGTCCATTTTGATTTCATGGTGACTTTAATATACTAGAGTGTTAAAAATTCAGTCTCATTTTGTTCATTGCGTAGTGTTCTCAGAAGTTATTGTTCATTAAATATTGTGTGTGTGTCTGTGTGCATTGCATTTATTTTTGTAGTGAGAATAACCTTCAGGATGACCTATTTGATCAGATTCTGGTAGGGCGTTTAGAGTTCCCTTCACCCTTCTGGGACAATATCACTGATTCTGCTAAAGTGAGTACAGACAAACACACATTTTGACACATGCTACATTCTTAAAATGCACTGTTTCAATCTCACTCATTTATCTCCACATCCATCATTCTTCATCCTGTATACTCTGTCCTGACTGCTGCACTCCACTTTCTTTCATCCTACTCACACCATCAACTCACCTTATTCACATCCTCCCACTCTCACACTCAGCCCATCCAGCTTTAGAACTGTTTTTGCTAGGTTTATAACATCTTTCTCTTCACTGAATGGTAGAATGTTTTGCTGTGTTTGCAAATGTGAATGTTTTCATACACTTTAACATGTTTATCACATTTTAATTTAGAAAATTACATTTTATGTACAGTATATAGTGGTGTATATATACAGGTGTATATGTATATAAATTAGGAGTGTAACGGTACACAAACAATGATGGTTCGGTACGTACCTCAGTATTGAAGTCACGGTTCGGTACAGCAGGGGGAGAAAACTAAACATAAAATTTCAGCTTTTTTCTTAATTAAACTATACAAATATACACATTTGTTTTTGATTAAACAAATGTGTATATGTGTTTAATTCTATTATAATTAATTTGCTTAAGGATTAAACAAATCTATCTTAGCTAATGCTGTAAACTATATGGGGAGCCCTTAATTACACATTGCTATAATATTAAATGATACAATTAACAACAGAGCCCAAAATCATGCTGTAAATTGCACATAAGGCAGGTTTTGCATTAACTTCTAAATCTAATTATAAAGTTAATTTTCTAATTTTAATCATTTACACCGTGGCTTTCATAGCTTGTTTTCATGACAAATTTATTTAAACATACATTAAATAATCAATACATTACTAACAGGTTAAGTAAATATAATGAATAGGCTAATATCGTGCATATACAAAACTAACCTGCTGTTGACACTAAATGCCTGAGGTAAATGTAATGCTACTTGAGATATTCTTGATATTGATATCTTTCCGCAGTTGAAACACTGTGTGGCGAGCAGGACGAGGCCGAGTGACGTGAGAGCGGCGCGAGGCCGGTGGCGTGAGTGGTAATGAGCGACACTTGTGAGACGCACCGGTCTCGCATCTCTCACGGAGGAGCGGAGGCATAAAGGAGGAGCGACGACGGTGAAGATAGAGAGAGGAACAGGCCTTATTTTATGTTGTGTTTTGTTTCTGTGGCCAGCAGTCCTCCGTGAGAGATGCGAGACCGGTGCGTCTCACAGGTGTCGCTCATTACCACTCACGCCACCGGCCTCGCGCCGCTCTCACGTCACTCGGCCTCGTCCTGCTCGCCACACACTGGTTGAGAGCAAGGGGGTAATCCATCGACCGGAAGTTGAAGCCGGCCGGGTGCCGCCATGTTGTAGCAGAACTTCACTTGCGTTAGCATTTCCATTGACTCCCATTCATTTTTGCGTCACTTTGACAGCGAATAACTTTACATCTGAGGCGTTTAAAGACTCCATTTGTCCATTATTTATTTCTAAAGAAACACGACAATGTATAAAGGGCTCCATTACCTTCTATGTTACACTATGGCCCCGTAGAAACAGATTTAGTAAAAATAGGCTAACGATTGCGTCATAACCACTCGACTCTCTGTCGCGCTGTACAGAAGTTACCGCACAGACAGGAGGAGAAGCTCGCAGGCAATCGGGGGGACGTCCCGTCAAGGGAGAAGCCCACAGATAATGAGTCCATAAAAGCAAGGGAATTCTTACTCCTGCTCACTCACGCCAAAGAACTCTTTGCTCAAGTTCCCCGTCTCTGCAAGATTAACGTTGGCAATTTTCACGCACAGCTACTACAAGATTAACGTCTGTCAGACAGGTTGCTCACGTCATCAAGCTTAGTTTGAGTCGGTTTGAGTCTGCGCGTCAGGAACGGAAGTGCTCAAAAATCGCTAAAAATGGGCTTCAACTGTCTCAACTGAGTTCCAATGAGATGGCTCTGTCCACTTCTTATACTGTCTATGGTTGAGAGATGTAAACATCGATCGATCATCTCTTCTGAGCTTTTTTCTGGTAACAAACAGCATTGCATTGCCGTGCGCGCCCCCTTCTGGATTGGAGTGTGGATCGCCTGTGACTGATTGTATTTGTCGTGTGACTGCATGCACCGAACCATGACGTCCGTACCGTACGGTTCGAGACGAATACATGTACCGTTATACAACTAAAATATAAATGTGTATATATAATATATATACAGTATTCTCTCTCTAGACAGAGCATTATTAGCCAACTCAGCTGCTTACTCATGACACAAAGCAACACAGCTAAACGTATTCCTAATACTGTATGTTGGACCTTTTATTGAAAGTAGCCTACTTTTACCTGTTGAGACATGCCTTCACAAGCACCGTAAGAGCTAGGCGTGTGATGTTTGAGAAGAAACAACGTGTGAAAGGGGCATTTGCAAGGTTGTTTGAAAATATGCTTTATTTTTGTAAATCCGCTAGGTGCCACTAGTGTCACAGAAACTACATATTTCACCTTTAACTTTAAGTGCAAAGATTTAATATAACAGTATTTGTTTCCTGTCCTTTTGTGTACCTTTTTAATGCTAAAAATCTATTAAATCAACAAATAAATGATCATGATGTGTTCATACAGGAGTTGATTGGTCACATGCTGCTGGTGAATGTGGAGGCCAGATACACAGCAGATGATGTGCTGTCTCACCCCTGGGTCACGGTAAATGTGAGTGGATGGGTTTAGTGGTGTATATGTTTGATTTGTTTTTGTTTTTTGTCAATATTGTGGAGCTATGTAATGGATATGCTACACTAAAGTATCACATTTCTATATATATAATATACCAAAATCAAAATGTATTTTAGGCATTGCATGTTGAGCAGCATGGATGGCCGCAAGGGATTCACTCGCACACTTACTCATAAAACATTATTGATGCAATTTAAGCTGTATTAGAGGTGGTTTTGATTTGTTTCAAATTTTTTTCAAACTGAAACCCACAATTTAGTCAATATGTACTGGTGGACACAGTTACAGTATATTGCTCACCATTAGATTGGCCTATCCTAATCCACTTCATTAACCAACAGGAGGATGCTGCAATGGAAAACAATATGAAGATGGAGGTGGCAGGTAAACTCAAAAAGCACTTTAACTCTGTGCAGAAACAGAGCAACACTTCCCCTGGAGTCTCTGTTCTTGTGGTGAGCACACACACTCACATATGAGAAAAAGTCTGCCCATCATAACCGCAGCTGCTATCATCTGTTAAAATGCACTGCTTAAAAAAATAATCAATGTCATCCTCTCGGTCCCTAATGATTAGTACTTGGATTACACATAATTCCAAAGCATAGCGTCACTGAAATTACAGCCACTGTGGACACCAGCATCAAATCAATCAGTTTGTCTCCCTCAGCGCTCATGACTTACATAACTGCTAAGTCTCAGAAAATAGGAGAGATTATTGTATTGCAAACAAGCACAGCACCAAATATGCCAGAGCTATGAAATTGGAAATGACTTCAGAAAGCATCACATCAGGCGCAAGTATAAAGATCCCGTTCATTTTCTCCATACATTTTTTTTTATTTGACTTTAAGTGATAATGTATTTTTTTTAACCATTTAACACAGACCTACTGAGTCGTGTGATTTCAACTTTTGTATTTAAAATAATTAACCAAAACAAAAATGTGTTTAATTATGGTGAACATGTACGGTTCACTTGGAAACCTGGAATTATCGGAAATAGCCACGACAAAACTATGGTCACGTAGGTTATTTACACATTTAACTCGTGGCTACGAGAAATAGATTTCGTTCTCTCGACATAGGATCTCAAGGCCATGCCTTTACATCGCGTGACCACGACATAAGGATGTCGTTACCTCGAAAAAATTATCTCGTGGCCTCGACTTCTTATCACGTTCCCACAAGTCAATATGACGTTCCCACGAATTAATATCTCATTGCCATGACATATTATCACGTTCCCAAAACTAAGTGAACCGAAGGTGTCCCCTCCCGGTCACCGTATTTAATAGCCAAATTGATGGTTAAAAACTACAACCAATCAGACACTTGTCAAAACTAAATCACTCAGCAGTGATTCCCTTTAAAGCCGGGGACACACTTAACGACTGTAACTATTGCTATTCTTATATTCAATGACTACAAGTCATTAGTTTATTCATGTGATGCAAAGCTGAATTGTCTGCATCATTACTCCAGTCTTCAATGTCACATGATCCTTAAGAAGTCATTCTAATATGCTGATTTGGTGCTCAAGAAACATTTCTTAGTATTATCAATGTTGAAAACAGTTGTGCTGATTAATATTTTTGAGGAAACTGTGATAAATATTTTCCAGAAATCCTTCAAAAAGAACAAACATTTTTTTTACTGATACCATACTTTTGAACGGTGATGTATTTACAATACAGTGTTAAATACAGCAAAATGTGCAGTCAGTGCTGCTCTCTATAGTGCCTCAAAATGGCTGAAGGACTCAAAGGAATCATAATCCTTTTATTGTTTGGCATAAGCAGTACTTTATGAGCTCAGAGAGAGACATGGGAGAAGCATTTTCAGCCATTTCCACCCTCATGTCTTATTAAATTCCCATCCCAGTTCACTGCACCATAAACCCCTCACTGCAGTTGTCTTAGTTCTTATCACTGTCATCAAGGTGTTAGTTTATGTAAATGTGTTTTCAGTGTTGTCATCGGTCTTAACCTCGTCTATATTGTCATGATCAAGAATATTGTCTATTACCGGTACTCATTCTTTGAACTTGACCCCATCATGCAGAACTTGACCTCATCGTGCAGTTTTGATAAGACCTCAGTGTACATTTAAAATACTCAGCACATGGACAGAGCAGTATATTGAATATTCATGATATGCAAGGATTTTGCTAGAGCCTTTTTTTGTTCACTACACTGCTTGAAAAAGCAGCAAGGGTGAATCTCTGGCTGAATGTGTATTGATGTGAATCTCATTTGACAGTTTGAACTATAATGGCAGGGCTGTACCTACACCCCTTCCCTGCTCTCCCAAGACCCGAAGTGATGTCTGCCACTGGATATTGGGTATTTGAATCCAAACCTAAACCTATTTTTAATGAGCTTATGACTCTATACTAAAATCTAGCACTCTGACTGCCTCCTATTAACCCTCACTGGGTTTTTTCAGCATTTCTGGTCTTGCCTCACAATAATCATACCATATTTTACCTCATGTCCCAACCATAATCTGGTCCACTTTCTGTGTTCCCATCTCCTCACTCCACTCCATGTTCATGGTGGCTCTTTCATGGTGAATACTTTATTGCTGTAATATTCTGAGCCATATGGCTTGTGTTGCACATTTGTGCTCTATATTGTTTCTTTCTGGGCTTTAGTTGGAAGGTTTGTATTGGCATGCATGCATTACTGACTGCTTGAATATTAACACTGCAATCTGATGGCCTCTCTCTCTCTTCCTCTCTTTATATCTCTCTCTGTTACCTAATCCAGAGACAGTATTTCATGGCAGTTGCCAATGTCCTCAAAATGAACCTCATTCTTAGGATCTTGACCATTGCCATCAAACTATCAAAGAAAGTGGTTTACGAATATGAAACTCTGCCACCATCGCAGTATTGTAATTTAAATTAATAAATCTAATGACAGAGAGAGAGAGAGAGAGAGAGAGAGAGAGAGAGAGAGAGAGAGAGAGAGAGAGAGAGAGAGAGAGAGAGAGAGAGAGAGAGAGAGAGAGAGAGAGAGAGAGAGAGAGAGAGAGAGAGAGAGAGAGAGAGAGAGAGAGAGAGACATAATTATGCACAAAAATTGCCTTGGATGAAATATTTTATTTAAAGTTTGAAAGACTTGTTTAGACATTTTTAGATGAAATGGGGTTTACTTGTTGATTATTTTACTTTTTTATTACATTTAATTGATTTGTTTCATTTTGCCGCCAGTATATTTATCTAATAGGATCCGGACAGGTGCTATTCATTTTATCAGCTTTCTTTTACATTTTTCGGTTTTGTCCACATCAGCTGAGAACTTACCAAAGAAACGTATCATATCACGTATCAAATCGTATCACAGTTTAAAAGAATAGCTCACCCATAAATGAAACTTTTATTAATTACTCACTCTCATGTCATTCTAAATGACATGTACTGAAATAAAAATAGGTTTTAATTAATCATCACAAGGATATTTTCCATTAAACAAAACAGCAACAGTTCATACTGGTGGTGGTTTGTCAGGCTCTACAAAAAAAAAAAAGCAATATAAAATGTTTTTTTTTTTTTTTTTTTTTTAAACACTAAAGAAGTACTATATGACTCATCTGCTATATTATTCACTGATAATCAGCTGTCAAATTAAATATGGTGCCATTGACATTGGTTCTCGTCTTGTAACCACACGTCATTACATCAGACATGCACCATAGGCACCAAAAGCTATGGCTTTAGATGGTCATATGGACTAAATTGATGGTGCTTTTTTGCACACTTTTTGGAATTTGACAGCTTGTTTGGATATTAAAAACATCAGCATGCAGGTTTGGAACAATATTTGGGTGAACAAACAATGTCCAGAATGTTAATTTCTGCGTGATCTATCCCTTTAAGTGGCTATATTTAGCTTTATTTAAGCAAGCTGGTGTTTCTAAAGTAGTCCTTGTGAAATGTCCCTTAGCTGAACTGTTAGAGGTTGTTAGTGTTGTGTATAAGAATTTGTGCTGTATGTGCTCTGTGAGTAAGACTAGTCTTTGTCCTCTGCTTCTGCTCTCCCCATGGCATTGCTATCCTCTGACTAGCTCCAAGGCAATGGTATGTACTAACACTAACTGCTATGCTCCTCCCTCCCCGCCGCCGTCTCCTCGCACATACACTCTTATACTGGGAGAAAGTGACAGTAACATCTTCATTTTATTTATTTAATTTGTATTTAATTTAACTTTTTAACTAATTTGAATCTATATTTATTATTTATATATTTTAATCTTTTTATTTATTTAATCTTTTTTACCCCACTGATTTTCTCTAAACATTTCCTCGGACTCCCTAGCACTTTCTTGGGCCCCCCCACACTCACTTTAACTTTAATCCTGCCATGAACTTCAGTGGTGTTTTTTTCCATTTTCTGTCTCTTTCTCTGCTGTGGTCTTTTTCCAACTGCGACGTGATCAATAGTATTGACTTTTCAATGAAACCGGGTTATGCATAATGTCTTTTATATCTTAGTATGGACCAGTTTCCTGTTACAGCAACAAGAAAAAACACAGAACAGCTGCTTTATTGAAACCTTAAAGGGTCATGCAAAATTAGAATTCTGCCATCATTTTCTCACTCACATTTATCATTCCGATGGCTTTCTTTCTTCAGCAGAACTAAAAAGATGATATTTTGAAGAATGTTTCAGTGTTATTTTTTCAGCAAAATGAGAGTCAGAAAATGTCTTTGTTAATATTTAATGGACTTGAGCTCATTGTTAGTTTGTGCTAATTTATACATTAACTAAAGTAAACTATATTGTATGCATGGTGGGAACATGCAGATGTTGTCTCACATAAAATCTCTCAAACCTTATTGAATGTGTATTTTAGGTAAAAAATGTACCTTTTACCAGTGCACACATTGTTTACACCCTACATAATACTTTTGTCCCCACAAAGATATTAGTACCAGAATTGTTTGACCTTGTGGGGACATTTTTTATTTGATTTTGGTCTCCATAACAGCTTATAAATCATATTAGAATATGCTTTTAAAAAAAGTAAAACATGCTGAAGGTTTCCTGTTTATGGGTAGGATTAGAATATACAGTTTGTATATTATAAAATCATAATGTCTATTGAATATCACCATAAAACATGAAAACCCAACGTGTGGGCGTGTGTGTTTTAAGTGAGAGCCATAATTTTGGAACAACATGAGGCTGAGAAAATGATGAGAGAATTCTCATTTTTGGGTGCACTGTTCCTTTAAGATTGAATTTATCGCTTTCTTGACCTCCCTGATTGTAACTTCATCTCACTTACTCTTTCCCTACTGAATTGTTTTCAATTTCCTTTCCATTTTTGGGTGGGTGCACCTCATGTGAACATTAACATGCAGTATTGTCTCTCTCTTGTAGAACACAGCTCTAGATAAGGAAACCATCCAGCTCTCTCGCCGGCGTAAGGACACCAGCCCCCCTCCAGGAAAAAGCCCCTCCTCCACCCATCCAGAGAGACGACGCTCCAATAGGAGACGGTCATCTGCCCAATCGGTGGATTCTAGGAGTGCTGCTGCTCTGGTTGAGCCTTTAGACTCAACAACCCCCAATACACCATCAGCACCTCTGCCCTCCCCTTGCTCTGCCCCACTTCACTACTTCCCAGAATGCAATGCTGAGGCCAACAAGGGCTTGCCGAAGGAAGAATAACTCTACTTAGGGGAAACAATATGGAGACAATTCCAAATATACAAATAAATAATTAAATAGTTACTCTGCAAATCTTTAACGCTTCATTCTAGCAGAAGACTGGAATACACTACACACGATTTGCTCAGATTTTTGCCCCAATTTACAGCCTGGAAGAGTTGCCAAAAGTGTTATCTTATCCATTGTGACGTACATCTAAGTGAAACAGCTTCTCGAACAAGAATAAATATTGGGCAGGACTTGATTTTGTCGATCAGGAATTGATTGGATCATTGTTGTCTGCTATTGATCTCATGTGAGTGACAGGTTATCCCGTCCTTGTGCCGAAAAACACATCATGAAAAGAGATGTTGCTGCAAGAGGGACAGGAACATCACAAGGGCACATGAATTAAAAAAAATATATATATATATTTTGATGTGCACGGACAACTCATTTATAGGCTAATACTGCGATAAGAATAGTCCATTTGGATTTCATGGTGACTTTAAGGCTGGGATACAACACAACTTTTAAAATCTGAGCAGATTTTAAAACACTAACTGATGATCACACACTTTCAGGTCGTTCCTAACACAACAAACTCACGCAGAAACACTCGCCTCATTGCCAGGAGACGCATTACAAATGTATCTGAAGCTGTCTGTGCCCATCATACACTATGCGATGTTCTGTGAAATCTGTCAACTTAAATCTGCAGACTGGCTCTGAGCCTCTGACTTTCAGCAACTATACCATTGACTCGTCCAGACTGTAAATCGGGGCAAACAGCTGAGCACAATTTGTGTACTGTATTCCAGCCAAACAGTACAGTCAGAACTGTCTGTATAGTGGTCGTCTGCTCGTCTCCCTGCTTTCTTCTTCCAGTTTGGCTTCGGATTCCAGCACCCGGGGTGGGTTTGAAAACTTTTATGTGATTGATTGTATATAGGTGCTTTGGATATCAAAGATCCGCTCTGCTTTTGTGTTTACTGACATGAACAGCTCACGTCTCGATTGTGAATAGCAAGCACGTTTTAGGGTGGATCTAATTGCAACGGGGAAGAAAGACTTTGAAACTGGCAAGAAACTTGTCCTGCTGAAACTTGAAAGTATGTTTGAAAATAGACCGCTTGACCTTTTGACTACACAAGAAAGCGATTTGCATTTGTGGTGGTGTGTTTTTAAGAGGGTGTGCATATATTGCACTACTGTGTTCTGGAGTCATTCTGCAGTAGTTTAGAGTTGCCTTCATATGAGCCAGCAAAGCAAGAAATCTGTAGGGATTGTTAATAGTTCTGTTCTTTTGCTAATTTATTTGTACAGATTAGACATAATGTGAAATTGTATTTTAGAATAGTTTGATATTTTCAAGCCGGAGTCATTAAGTGCACGATATTTTGATTTAGTATTAGATTACAATCTGTCTTTGTCACCTATTTCTCCATGTACTGTCTGTACTTGTTCTTTGCTCACCATGCCCTGATTCGAAGAGAGGGATGAAGCTTGTTAATAAATGTATATGACATAATGAACTGATTTTTGACATGTTCAAGGTTTCAAGAAATATGGCAATATTCGGTATCATTTGTGGAAGGCTATATTTCATGTTTAATAGATGTCATTTTCTATTAGTGTTCCATATCATCTCATAATCAAGGAAATGCAATAAAATTATCTAGCTGTTGTTTATCCTTGTCTTGTCCTTATTACGGAATGATCCCAGTAAACTCTACAAACCAGCCAAATAAATCAGTTTTACTTTCTCTAGCATAAAAAACAGGTGTAGCCTAACTCAACATCGCCATCTGTGGGTGGAGAATGGGGCCAAAGGACACCCGGGGTAAAACGTGTCTGTTTGTATTTTTTTTCTAATCAAATGAATAACACATTCACATTTCCTACATCACTATTTCCTATCGCTTATTCAGAAGACCTATTGGATATGGCACAACAAAGGTTTGTCCTCCTGAGAACAAAAAAAAAAAAAAAATTTTTATTCATGTTATGCCATGTCCTCTAGTGGTACTCAGTTGCTTAAAAAGTAAAAAGACATCAAATAAAAAGTATAGGTAAAAACAAAGGGATTTTTTTAATTATTATTCAGGAATACATTTTTAGGTTTCAGGTTCCAAAATTGAACGAATTGATATACCATTTTACTTTATGCAATATGTTGGTTAAATGGGTAGTTCTATTCAATACAATGTATCTCCACTGTAGCCTATCTAATTTGCACATTAATGTGTTCTTGGGGTAACATGTAATGAAAAAAGAAGTGTAATAATGGGAGTGAAAATTGTCAACATTTTCATAATAATATCTATTATTTCATAGGAATATATACAATTTCTTTCCCTATTCTCTTGTTGTGTCTACCAAAATGCCTATGTGTCCTAAGTGCCAAATTTGATCATTAAATTAATATCAGTCATTTTTAAAGACCAAGGAGAAGTTCTTGTTACGGTGAAACCTCCATACCTCCATTTGGTATCTCTAAGAAAAGCCCTCAACAGGACATCCAGACTTAAAACTGTGATATGTATGTTGTCAGAGAAATTCACTAATATAATGCCCACAGTGTACAAAAGTCTATTCCTGGGTTCCAGGAAGAATATTAGTTGCCTGCTATAGCCTATAGGCCTACCCTATTACTATTTATATGTTATATGAAAGCTGTAACACTTTCAAATGATATAAACTTTTTTCAAAACACCGTCCTTGACTAACAAAAAAAATCCTCTTAATTTCCTTAATAAGAATAACTAGCGTTACACCATTTTTCTAATTTCAAAACATGCTTCTCCGCCTAATAAATGATCCATTCTTTCCATAATGTTCAACCAGTGCCATATCGTCTAATTTATAATTTTGCATTCTCGTCTCTTGTAGACAGAAAACAACAAAGGTGACAAAGCATCCGTGAGGTGCCCCTGTGTTTAAAAACAATATATTTTAACACCCCGGGCGACAGTTCCGGTCACATCCTATACTTTTCAGCTATTTCCCCCCGGCTTGTAAACTTTAGCGATGGCCCTAAGTATAAAATCGTAGCTCTAAGCGGTATATTTTCTAAAATTTGTAGGCTATCCTAATTACATTCATAAACATAATAATAATAAAAACACAACATTTGGAGTCTTTAGACAAGCTGCACTGCAATCAATAATTCATTCATTTTAATGGTTATGGGTGAAATTTGACTCACAGATCACAGGTGAGGGCATCAGTTTAAACAATCTGTAGCACGCCACACACACCACAATCATTAAACTTAGGCCTATGTGGAATACAGGATTCTGAGTAGAGCGGTGGCATTGAGCTGTCCATAATCTATAAATTGGCAACGCAAGTTGGATAACTCATTACTTATATTTTTGATACCGTGGCATTCATAATAAAAAAATAAAAAGCTGGATAACTCATTACCGCCATCTAATGACTACAAATGATTATTACGATTACCCTCTGTAATTATGTAAAAAAAAAAAAGCCCTCTCTCGGACAGCGTTCATTTTAAAGTATTATCTAGAAAACGAAAATATCGATAAGAAAAACAACGCACATGTAAAATACTCAAGAGCTTGATGAGAGAAAACCTAAAATAGAGCAAGACTGAATAACAATGAGCTTTATTCGCCATTTACGCTCGTATTTTGATTTTTTAAACAATCTTTCAGGACCAACACAGACACAACATCTAATCAAACAATGCTAATAATAGTAGTAATAATAATAATAATACGTGGTCGCGTCCTCCTAAAACTCAATTTCCCATAAGCCCCAAGCACACTATACGATATGGCGTCATGGCGTAAACGCCATTGGCCAATTCCTGTTGGGTCGGCCATATTGGAATTTGAAGTCTGCTATACTGTGAGCAGGTTGGCAGGCTCTTAGATTATATCTCTTAAATACAGCTATATTTTATCCGTGTCCGCAGCGTCAGAGCCTGGCATTGCACCAGAGACCCTGCTGTTTGTGGACGGAACGCTGTCTGTGTATTCCGTGGGTAGAAATGAGTCCTACAGACGCCAAACGCGGAGCGAAGCGCAGGAAGAATAAGCGGGGCGGCGGCGCAGGGAAGGCCGGAGCTCCGCCAACACCCTCCAGCGGCACTGCGCACGGAGACCCGAGTACCATCCCCAGCCTCAACGGAGAGGTGAGCGGCGGCTGGGGCATGCGGGGTGGTTGATGGTGCATGTGGGTGTAGTTTACTTCAGATTCCATGATATTGGAGGCCTAAGAGAAGCTCCTGTAGCTGATCTCACGTTTACATGGAGCCTGAGCTGAGCTTCACTGATCTAGAGCTTTAATCTTACATATTTCCTAGTCTGATCATCGAAACATGGGAAGAAACCCGTGAAGACGTGTGGAAAGCACATTTAGAGTGATTTTATTCAACGGATGTGTGAGTGTTTTTTGTCGCTCTGAGTGATGTGAAGCTAACTTGTCAAGCGCTGCCCAGTTTTAGCTTACCGGTATGTGTTTACAAGGTGTACTTCAATAACCATATGATTTTTATCAACCTTCCTTAATAAAAAGCAGTAAATGTATTCTTGAGGCTGAAAATATCACTGTTTATGAACCGCAGTCACAGTAATGTAACCATGTCGATAGACAGATCAAATGCTAAAGTCCACCGTTTTTTGACATTTACGCTCAAAATATTCTCTTACTCGTTTCTTTCTTTATTCTTTTTAGCACAGGTTTTACTGTTTAAAACGTTATGTATTGCGTTATTAAATAAAATGGAGGTAATAATTGCCTTTCTGAACTTTCTGGCAGTTGTGTCAGGTATGATCAAACCGGAAGTGCTTGAAAATATCCAACCGTAAATGTCAACAAAGCCTGTAATATGTCTGTCAGTGGTTTTAAAATGAGACTTGTACAAAGTTTCTGATTTGGACGTAAAGGTTATGTGATGTATTGTCACTTAGCACAGTTAACTCTTAGTATATACTTACCTACCATATTTATAGACATACACACTCTTACCTCAGTTTATCTGCTGCTTTCCTTTTGAGTTGTGCATTTATCCAGCCTGAGAAGTGTCAGGGAATGAACAGGTCACTCACAGCACAGGGTCCAGTGTCCAGGGCTTTGCCAGAGACTTGTTCTTTCTGATGGTATGCCTCTGTTTCCAAGGAAACCACATCTGTAGCTTAACAAGAGTATCAGTCTGTATTGACATAAGCAAGCCAAAGCGACCATTTCATCTCTGGACTGAATCATGGCTATTTTGCTTACATACAGTGCACATATTTCAGTGACCAGAGGGCAAAACGTGAGGATGTCTGTCTAACTGTCTTTGATTTCTGAATCTGACTATGACATGTTCTCTTAGAAGTTTAGGTCATATGTGAATCATTTGTTGCAATATTTCTTTTGATGGAATAACACAGCCAAACAACCTCTGGTTAACTCCAGTAAAGCTGTTTGTAATCTACTGTACAGAGCTTGTTTGCAGGTTGTTGTTGTCTCAGGAATTATTGTGACATTTTTGTGTTTAACTAAGCACATGCTCAAGACCTCACATTTTCCTATTCCAGATAGCAATTTTGGTTAAAATTGAATCGTGTAATTTTTTTTTCTCAAAAGATTTTCCAAATACTACCATTGGTCGGACAGACAGCTATTGGTT